TGTGCTCTAGTCTTGTTACCATCAATCCTCATGCAATGAAGCCAGGCATGAGCAACACATGAATGCTGAGTGAGTCCCTTGTTTCAAGTCTTCCCATCAGGCACCAGTAGGAGGGCATTGGCCTCAATGCAGACTAGGCAAAGAGGTATAAGGGAGAGCCCCCCACAGTGGGCACACTTCCTCAGGCACGTGGCGGGCAATAAGTGAAGGTGAGCCGGAGGTTCCTGGGTCCAAAGGAAAGTAGGCTGGAGCATGAGTAAAGGTCAGAGAAAAGATGTGGTAGGAAAATGGCAGGATCAGAATATTAAGGGAGAAAGGCCCTTATCACCAGGGGCAGCTGGTGAGGGAAAGGTGAGGAGGTGATGATGGAGCAGTTGGGGGAGCTAGTCACACACTGGACGTTACCTGACATCAGTGTCTTCTTTTTCTGCACACCCAACTGTCTGGCCTCCTTCTTTGAGTCCTTACCTGATTGAAGATTTAACCAAGCCATTTCATGTTTTTATGTCTCAATTACCTCATCTCTATAAAGGTTAGAGTGATACATACAACTTGCTTCCTGAGCTAGTGGTAAGGCTTCCTTAGGTCAATGGGAGTATCTTGTAAACTAGGCAGCCCAAGGAGATGTACAGTGGCCTCATCATGTCTGACTGTCACAAAGAGAGAGTTCCTCCCAGAAATAAATGAAAAAGATGATAGCAGGCTTCAGGTGTCTTTTTATGTCATAGTCTTCATTGTTGTTGATTTTCCCCTTCTCCTTTTGAGACTACTACCTGTTTTCCAGGGTGGACTGGAGACTGAGACCTTCTGTGTTAGTGTTACTGGAAACAGACTGATTGAGAAGCAGCAAGCAGCTGCTTCAAACTTATTTTATGGCAGCAGGCCCAGAGGAAAACAAAACTCCTAATTCTAATCCATGATCCAGAGTTTCTCACAACATTTATAGTTATTTGGCATCATCTAAACCCATCCTATCATTGGGGCTTTTTTTAAATTAAAAATCCCCAATCTATGGGGATAAAGTTCTTGTGCAGGGTCTCTAACATAAAGCATGGTTACAGAAACAGATTAGAAGGAATGGCTCTTTTCGCAGGCATCTGTGATATTTCAAGAGGGAGTACCCAGTCTCCCATGGAAGTTATTTACAATTCAAAAATTAGGGATCCATGGTCAATTAGGCTTCCTGAAGAAAGACTGAGAGAGGGAGGGGAAATGACCCTCATCCCAGGCATTGTTTTCTATTCTTTTCTTTTTAGGTGTACATGGGGTTAAACTCAGGGGCACTCAATCACTGAGCCACATCTCAAGCCCTTTTTTGCGTTTTACTTAAAGTCAGGGTCTAACTGAGTTGCCTGGTGTCTCCTTGTTGCTGAGGCTGGCTTTGAACTTGTGATCCTCCTGCCTCTGCATCCCAAGCCACTGGGATTACAGGCATTCTCTACTGCATCCTGAACCTTGGAACCATTTTTAGAAATAAATTATTTTTGCATGGAGAAGTGAAGTAAATGTTTACATTTGTATACCAGTAAGACTGTGTGGGAGGTTTCCTTACACAGCAATAGCTACCTAGCACAGACCCTACCATGTAGGCCACAGCTGACTGAGTGACAAAGAAGTAGCTGATCCATGGCCAGGCAAGCACGTAGCCAGAGAACTATGAGATTGCTGGAGGTGACAGCCCTGCTGAACAGAGGTACCCTGTCTGCATGATCACTCAGCAACTACCTGGATCTTCATTCATGGAAAATTTGTCTGTGAGACAGCCTGAGAGAGACATTAGAGAAGAGGGAGTCCCCAAACTGAGAAATGTATGAAGAAGGCAATGAGAAAAAACCCATGAGGCAAGAGAAACCATAAATGGTCAGAAGGTGCAGCAAGAGTATTGCATAGAGAGGTTCCATTCAGGAAGGAGCATGCGGACTGGGAGTCAGAGACGGAGAATCTGAGTCCTGGGGTGGGTGGGGGAGATGAAAATGATGAGAGGTAGAGCAGAGTCACCAGAAGTCATGTTGAACTATGAGAGCAACTGTCCTGTACTGAATAATGGGCCTTCCCAATGTAGATCTGAAGAGAGGATTCAGCCCTTGATCCTGATGGACTAAGAGCAGGCCATGAACAGGCCACATATTTGCCTTAAATTGATCACTAGTGAATTTGAGAGGTAGCAGTGTTTCTTCCTTTTCTTCCTCCTCATTCTCCTTCATCATCTTCCCCCTCATCCCTCTCCTCCTCCTCCTCCTCCTCCCGTTGTTCTTTTGGAGGTGATGATTGAATGTAGGACTCCCTAACTACTGAGCCATATCCTTAGATCTTTTTATTTTTTATTTTGTTATAGGTTTCACTATGTTGCTTAAGGTCCTGCTAAGTTGTTGAGACTTGTCTCAAACTTGCATCCTCCTGCCTCAGCCTCAATTCCCAAGTACCAGTAAGATGGTACTTCATTTGAGGACAGGATCCTCCAAACCAGGGTCTCATGCATATTATGCAAGCCCTCTACCACTGAGCCAAATCCACAGCCCAAGTTGGTACTTCTTTTGAGGACAAGAGAAAAAAAATTCATTGTGTTTGGGGCAGGGTGGTCCATACATACTCATTAAATTATATTTATGCAAATCTGTATGGATAAAATAATGTTAATAATGTTTGAAAACATTATAGGAGATCCGAATTTCTTCTTCAAACAAGAGAAGAGCACATGATCTCAAAGACTGAAAGAAAGAGACAGATCTTTGAAGAAATATTTCCTGTGGGATTTGGAAGAATTTTTCAGGAAGCTTTTCAATGACCTCACTAGCTCTGCAAGTTAGAGCTACAAAGAATGGCAGAGATAAAACTGTGCTAAAAGGGCTGGGGCTGTAGGTCAGTGGTAGAGCACTTGCCTAGGGTATGGGAGGCAAAAGGTTCAATCCTAAGCACCATATAAAAATAAATAAATAAAATAAAAATATTGTGTTTATCTACAACTTAAAAAAAAGAAAATGAAAATGTGCTATTAAACTAGGTGTGGTGATGCACACTGTATTCCAGTTACTTGGGAGGCTGTGGTAAGAGGATTACCAGTTGGATGCCAGTCTTGGCAATTTAGCAAGTCTTTGCCTCAAAATAAAACAAAACCGGATGGGGATGTCTCTAGTTCAATGATGCTGTAGAGCACTTACAGAGGATGTGTGAGGCACTGGCTTCAATAATTTCCAGTACTGAATATAAATCAATAATAAAATGAATAAATTAAAATGTGTTAACTACCTTACTTCTTTAAAATTTCCTTTTCCACCCCTGGAATGTTCAATTTTTGAGAGCACATCTATCTTGTTAACCACTGTATTTCCTGTGCAAGTTAGTAGTTTAGTACCTGTGGAAAAAAAAAATAACAAATAGGGTGTGAGGGCTCCAAACAGGGTTAGGAGACCACCAAGCTCAGGAGGCCCTTGTTGGGTGCATGGGAGACCTTGCCTTTTGGTTTTATTTCCCCATAGGGTTTCTCCCCACTGAGGTTAAGTTTCTGTCTTGTGAGAAGAACATCACATAATCCCTTATGCCTCCCCCTCCTCTCTGAAGGGCGCTAAGCCAAAGGGTGCCAAAGTTTTCTTGACAATTCCTGCGGGACACAGTGTCCACTCGCAGGTTCCTGAGTCCCCCTGCCAATCAGCACCCACCAAGTCACCTATGAAACCCTTTTAAAGCTGAAGCTTGTAAGTGCACACTGCTGCTCTCTTCCTCCCCTTTTCTTCCCCTTCAAGCAGCCTCCCAATAAAATCTCTTGGTTAAATTTCCATCTCAGGTGAGTCACTCACCTTTCAGCCTTCACACATTTCTACTGTTTAGGGCATACTCTGAACAGGGAGGGTTGGGGGTGGACTCCAAGCAGTTTATTCCAGGGAGGCAGGGAGTGGGCAGGCCAGGCTAGGGTCCAGGAGCAAGCAGGAATGACCTGGCAGTCAGTGGAGTCTCAGTGAGCTGAGCCCTGTAGAAATGAGAAGGAAGTGAGGACTTCGCCAGAAGCAAGCAGGTCCCCCAACAAGTCTACCTTGTCATGTCCCACCCCCTTTTTTCCTCCAGTTGTCACAAATGACTCTAATAATGTAATCCAAAGCTTGGTCCTGGTCCCCTATGCCAATTCATGCCAGTTTAATAATGAGGACCCTGTTTTGAGAAAAAGTAAAAAGTAATTTTATTGCTTTACCAGCAAAGGAGAAACACGGGGCACTCTTGTCTCAGAGCCTGTGATTCTGCCCATTAGGCAAAACAGAAGGCTTTTAAAGAAGCTCTTCCAGGTCTACATTCCAGGTGTGCCCTGACAGGGGATCCCAGGGCACCCTGATGGTGTGTTAGGAATCTCTTGTTAATTTGGGAAATATTTTCTTCCTAGATTCTCTGGCAGACACTTCTTTCCTGTGGAGCACAGATAACTGCCGCAGTCTGGCTGGGCACAATTTAGGAGCCACTTGTCAAAAGAAACAAACTTTATTTTTAGAACACACACTATACCACACAGCTCTTCAGGAAAACACTCAGAGCCCAACTGCCACCACTGGCTTCCCACAAGCCTCCCCACCTCCCCCACCCCTCCTGCTCTTGAGGCCCATTGGCTGGGTCCCTTGGGGGGAGCAAAAAAAGTTCCCCAATGAGCAGCTCGTGGTCTGAAAGGGTGGGGAAACAGCCCAATGAGCATCACCGCAGAGGAGCCAATCAGTTGGCAGCTAGAAGTTGCTGAGGCAGCTGTGAGCCAATCATCAGCTGGCAGCTGGAAGTTTGCTGGGGCCCCTGTGAGCTAATCTTCAGCTGGCAGCTGGAAATTTGCTGGTAGCTGGAAGTTTGCTGGGGCCCCTTCCGCTGTGGCTCTCAACAGATAACTTTAACCCCCAGGTTAGGAGGGGATAGAGGGAAAGAGGAAAAAAATATGTCCCTTTTAAAAATAATTCTAGAGAGGCATGGCGGGGGCGGGCCAGGGAGATGTGCACGGATCTGGCTGTGGCATCCCTCGCCCCGGCCAGTGAACCAGAAGCCAACAGAGATGTGATCATGGATCATCATGTTTCCACTATTAAACCTCGAAGAATCCAAAACCAAAATGTCATTCACCGATTGAAACGGCGGCGGATCAGTTCAGGCAAGGCAGGTCCTCATTGGCACCAGGTTGGAGTGTTCCACCAGAATGTCTTCCCTAACTTTACAGTTGCCAACGTTGAAAAACCTCCTTGTTTCTTGCGTACATTCTCACCTGATGGATGCTACTTTATTGCTTTTCCTTCTGACCAGACATCTCTTGAAATTTATGAGTACCAGGGCTGCCAAGCAGCAGAGGACCTATTGCAGGGATATGAGGGGGAGATCCTATCCAATGGCAATGACCAGAGGTCAGTCAACATCCGGGGCAGGCTTTTTGAACGATTTTTCGTCCTGCTGCACATTACAAATGTAGCAGCCAATGGTGAGCACCTGAACCGGGAGAGTAGCCTCTTCACTGATAATTGCCGATGAGTGATCGTGGGCTCTGCTGCCTACCTCCCGGATGAGCCTCACCCTCCTTTCTATGAAGTATATCGGAACAGTGAATCAGTAACCCCAAATCCACGGTCCCCTCTAGAGGACTATTCCCTCCACATCATTGACCTTCACACTGGCCGCTTATGTGATACGCGCACATTCAAGTGTGATAAAGTGGTCTGTCACACAATCAAGGGCTGTACTTGTATAAAAACATCCTGGCCATCTTGTCTGTGCAGCAGCAGACCATCCATGTCTTCCAGGTGACTCCTGAAGGCACATTCATTGATGTGCGGACCATTGGCCGCTTCTGCTATGAGGATGACCTGTTTACTGTGTCGGCTGTTTTCCCTGAAGTACAGCAGGACAGTCAGACAGGCATGGCCAATCCCTTTAGGGATCCTTTCATCAACTCCCTAAAACACCGGTTGCTGGTATACCTGTGGCGCCGGGCAGAACAGGATGGTAGTGCAATGGCCAAGAGGCGCTTCTTCCAGTATTTTGACCAGCTGCGGCAGCTGCGTATGTGGAAAATGCAGCTTTTGGATGAAAACCATCTGTTTATCAAGTATACCAGTGAGGATGTAGTGACACTGCGAGTCACTGATCCATCTCAGGCATCTTTGTTTGTAGTGTACAATATGGTGACAACTGAAGTGATTGCTGTGTTTGAGAATACATCGGATGAACTTTTGGAACTCTTTGAGAACTTCTGTGATCTCTTCCATAATGCTACCTTGCACAGTGAAGTCCAATTTCCCTACTCAGCCTCCAGCAACAATTTTGCAAGGCAGATCCAGCGCCGGTTCAAAGACACGATTATAAATGCCAAGTACGGAGGCCACATAGAGGCTGTGCGCCGGCAGCTGGGTCAGCTCCCCATCAGTGCACAGTCCTACAGTGGCAGCCCCTACCTGGATTTGTCTCTCTTCAGCTACGATGACAAATGGGTGTCAGTCATGGAGCGACCCAAGACTTGTGGAGATCACCCCA